ACGAAGCGTTTTAAAAAAATGACGATAAATAAATAATAAACTACATGAATAACAATGCAAGGAAATTAATAACAATTAATATATTTAATCGTTATTCAAATGGAATGGATGGGGAAATGATAGATTGTTAATAAGCTATATTGTATATAAGATATTCGGAGCTCTCGGGGATTTTTTGTTAATAACTCCTCAACCACAACTCGGACAACTTTTTCGCTAAGGAAAATGTTTAAAATTACGTCAGGAACCGCCCATTTCAATATCTTACACTAGTTTTGGGACACCCTATATAAACGTTTCTATGGGAAACGAAACGATGCATCTTTTCATGTTTCTGTACATTAAGAATAAAAATGTGCAGAGAATTAGACTGAAGATTGTAAGTTCCGAGTTTCAGTTAAGATAAAGAGGGAACGTTTATGAGAAATCTTAATGCTTAATAGGACAACAGGGTTAACAGAATTGTCGAGAGAAATGTACGGAGTAATTGTGAATAAATCCTCGAGGAAGATCGCAGTCTGAATGGGCCGTAGAAAAATGAAAAAGTATGCCTCGATTAATGAACAGCCGCTCTTTACCGCTACTCGTACGCGTCTTATTTCACGAAATGTACGCACTGTTCATTTTTACGTTACGACCGCGGCCGTGAAACGACGCACCTAAAACAGTAATACCGACCAGAAAATTCGCAGAGATCGTCCGCGCAGTTTAGTATGTCGTTCAACAACCGTATCATGTCTTTGCGTCGTGCTTGATGGATGATCGCCTTGAAAATCACTACGACGATCCCGGCGAAGATGCAACCGTCGTCGGTGGTGACCGATAACTTGTTCCAGTTCACGTAAATGTCCGCGAGTATTGTGATCGCGAAGATGTTCATCATCGTCAACATCCATACTTTGTACGAAAGATAGAGGAATTTCACGAACGTCGAACGGTTCGGGTCAACTCCACCGAGACTGCTGTAGCTGGATACAAAACACGTTTCCTAATATTGATGGCGGTAACCTATTTTCAAAATACGATGCTCACTTCAAAAAACTGATTTGAGTATGTATCAACTTTCTGAACGGTCTCATCCACTCGTGGCACACCATTGTCCCCGGAGGACGGGAGGACACTCTCCCAGGCGCAGGGTTCATGCGTATTTTCGTTGCAACTATGTACTTGAACTTACGGCATGTTATTTTCATTCAATCTGACACGGTGCCTGTTGAGAAAATTGCGGATAAATGGATCCGATTGCACGGCCGTTTTTCGGAATTATAGACCCGCTCGTGGTACACGCGTTGGATCCCGGAGCCACTTCCGCGAAATCGATAAAAGTGGCAGTAATTGCATACCGATAGACAACCGAGCCACGTTGTACGCCAAGGATAGAGACAGTGTATATAGCGTTGCTGTCAAGCAATTGCTGCGAGCATAGTAATCGCGGCTTCAGTAACCAAATGAATGCGTGTTCTACTGAAATCAAGCAAAAGAGCCGCCGTTCGTTCGTTCGTTCGTTCGTTCGTCTGTTCGACAGGCTGAACCTTCTGTGCGATTGTATTTTATTGATCGCTCGTGAAGATGTCATATTGCATCGAAAACAGTTTGTGGTGGATACAGGAAAGTTATTATTAATAATAAAGGATTTATTAAACAGAACAATAAATAAGCTTATTTAAGAAATCTTTTTATTTAATATAGTGTAAGCGAAA